CTCTATTCTGATCATTGTCTTCATTTTCACAGACCACAAATATCTTGATTTCTTGTAGCAACGCAGATGGTGAGTGTAGGACTGGGCTATCACCAGTGAAAATAAAGGTCAGGTGCAGGTTCCTGGTGCTGCCTGGGTTGCTAACAGCCTGAGAATCTGTGTTTGAAATGCCACACTGGAAAGAAAAGTCATATCTGCCTGGAGGGCCCAGCAAATGTTAGGGTTTTACTGCACCCACCTTCCTGGATCTGTTGAATGTCACTTCTCTCCACCACACTGACTGTGCGTCAAATAGCTGAGACAGAGCATTCTCATTTCTGAGTAAGTGACCATGAGTAAGGATGGTCATGCCTTTAACATTTAGCAAGGGAAAATAATTACATTACCTTGTGGATTGCCCTTTCAAAACTGTCAACAGCCGAACAGAGGAAACAAGTTGTAACACTAAGGACATATGCTGAGACACATCAAAAACTTCTAATGCTAGAGAATGAAGGAAAAATCCTAGCTTGGGGCATATTTATGTAACCAGATGTCAACACTGATTTCAAAACATCTTTTGGAATTGCTGACAAAACACCAGTCATCTGCTGTGTAATTTGGTGAGACAGTAAAAGCTCTGGTGTTTGATTTAGCAGTGTCCCTCTCTCTTGCTAGATAGACAGGTAATTGTGGATAAAATGCCTAACCTGTTTTTCACCTGTAAAATGGGGATAACCCATGTCTTTCTGGTCTTCTCAGCTCCTGATGATGATCAGTCGATTCATTCTTGATAGATGTGTTGGTTAGGACAATGCTTTTCAAACTATAATATGCTTAAAATCACATGGATATCACCTTGCTAAAATATATCAGTCTGTGGAGGAATCTGACATTTTATAACAAGCTCCCAAGTAAGCTGTTTTGAGTAGAGAGATCTTGCATGTTTCAGTGCCTCCTAATAGTGCCTTAAACAAGACAACAGTTTATGTCCCCTTTATGTAATCTCTGGTCTGCACATTCTAAGCTAGACCCATTTTCACAGCTGCAGTTTAAGCAGGAGAAATAGGGAGAAGGCAGTGGAGAGCCCTTCCTTGTGAGAGTCCAAACTACTAACAGCACATTATACTTCATTCCTACTCAGCTAGAATTCAATCATTGGCCACATCTAGCACAAACAAAATTCAGAAATGTTTTATATACATTTTATTCTGTGTTCCAGATGCCTACTGAAAATTCCACTACCAAGGAAAGGAATGGATGTTAGGGAAGGCTAATACTGTTTTGTCAGGTACAAAAGTAATAAGTATTATTGAGTACTTACTATTATTGAATGAAATACCTCATTCGTCATAAAAAACAAAAAAAATACTAGTCCCCTCCTCCCCCCAAAAAACCTCATAAAAAATACCCATAGGGTAGTCACTACCATTTTGTAATATTAATTAAGAGGCCTGAGAGGTGAAGTAGCTTGCTGACAGTCATGCAGATCAGGCAGGGTCAGGGTTCAAATCCAGCCTCTCATTCCAGAGCCTGGGATCAATCCTGGGAGTAAAGGGAGGATAGCTGCTAATGACAGCAGGCAGGGATGAAGCAGTTTCTACCATAGGAGTCCCACAGCTGTGCGTGCGTGTGTGTGTGTGTGTGTGTGAGTGTGTGTGTGTGGTGGGGTCAAGAAATGTGACTAGGAGACAAACTTTCCAGGATCAAATCATAGCAAAGAATCTATGAATTTCCACAAGAAAGGTGATACTTATCTGAGATTATAAATTTTATTTTGAGTCAAAAAATTCAAGAAGGGCTGGGGTGTAGCTCAGTGATGAGAGCTCCTTTAGCAGGCATAAAAGGTCCTGCGTTTGATCCCTAGGGCACACACACAGACACACACACAAATTGAAGAAAGAACATCTATTTTTGGGTTTTAAGATTTGAGCGCAAAGTGACTCATTCCCAAATACAGCTGTTTGACCTTCACTGCTGGTCTGGCCAGACTTGAGATGTGCTGGTTTGTAGCAGACTGCTTTTACTCTTACTCCAGCAACTACCTGTCTCATTCTCAATACCTTGTACCGTTGTCCTAGGAGGGCCACCACTGGCCTGGACCAGATGAAGCCACTTTGTGTCACAGTCAAGTTAGAGGACATTTGGGAACTTGTTTCCAAGGGTTTGTTCTTTTTATTCCCCTCCCCTTTATTTTCATGAAAGGGGCTTTTTGTTAGCAGTCTTTGTTTCAGGATTCAGTTAATAAAAGGACCATTTTATTGGAATGAATTACTGACGTAAGCACTGCCAGAAATCTCTGCAAAGAGGACAGTACTCTGGCTTTTATTCAGCAAGGTGAATGGAAACAACTCTTAGGCATTGGTCTCAAGGGCACTTTGGAGTTTGCTGCTATTAGCAACTCAGAGAGTTTGGTTACCCGTTGATGTAGAGAACAGTGAGACCTCACCTCATACAAGAAAAATGTCAGTCAGGGCCTAGTGGCCATAGGAATGAATTCTTCCCGTTAACAATTTACTAAATCTCCACTACTAAGAATGGAATCCCTGTAAAGATCGGTTCATTGCTCAAAACTTTGAGAAAACCAGTCTCCTGCCAAGCCAGCTGAACTCTAGTGAAAAAAGTCAGTCACAATAAAACCAGGTTCTCTCAGACTATGGGTCTCATCCAAACATGGAATATTTAGGTATTTTTAAAATGGGTGTTCAAGGGACTTTTGACAAAGAGGTGAAAATACTGCTATGCACAAACTAGTATATTTTGCTTTTCCCCCAGGCCTAGTGCTTGTGATACCAACATAAATGAGGGCACATGAGTTGACAAAATACTTGAGCCTGCAATTTCCTCAGCTGCTGTGTGCTGAGACTCTGAGATCCAGGGTATTTCAAGACTATTACATGAAGCAATTTCTCAGAAAACCTCTTTTAGAATATTGCTACTTGCTAACAGTAGCACTGAATGGGCCATTTAAATCAACTGACCATGAAATTTTTTTTTTTTGGTACCGGAGATCGAACTCGGGTTCTTGTGCTAGCGCAGCAGGTGGCGGGAACTACTGAGCTAAATCACCGGCCCTATGAACTTCTCAGAATACTGGAATACTATATAGAGGGCTGACAAAGTAAACAGAAACTGGGAAGAGAAAAGGTACCCCTGGATATTGTTTGAAGGCATCTAACACTAATCAGTTTTAAGTGACTGAACCCCAATTACTGATTAAAAACCAGGTGGCTATGGGGGCAGAGCTGCCAGTTGCCAAGCTTTTGGCAGTAACGCAGATTTCAGCCCTTTCAGGATGGCTTTTCTCTGAAAAGCAATGTGAGCCACAGCACTCTTGCCACTTCTGCCCTTCAAAAGCATGCACTTGTTTTCAGAGACAGACAACTCATTAAGATGTATAGGTTTTGGGTATGTATGGCTTTTTACATACCAATCATACTTCAATAAAGCGACTTTAAAAAATATTTATTTTTGATGTTGGGGATTGAACCTAGGGCCTAGTGCATACTAAGCACATCCTCTACCGGAGCTTATCCCTAGCCACCCAATAAAGTGACGTAAGAGAAAAGCAATTTAAGAGAAAAGATCAGGTCTTGCCTGTTGACCTCATAATTAAGACAATGGGGCATCCTTGTAATGGTGCCATACCAGTTTCAGGTTTTGGCATCTTTCAGCAGGGAAAACAGTGCCCTATGTGGCTGATGGGAGGGAAATGACCAGGACTTGAGTGTTGACAGGCAGTTTTAGGTGCAGACTTCCCTGAAGCTCCTCTTTATCTAAGTTTACCCCACCCAAGCCATTATTCATTCATGTAGATAGGTTCTGTGCACTTTCTCTTTTTTTTCTTCTTCTTTTGGTACCGGAGATTGAACTCGGGTCCTTTCGCTTGCGAGGCACCCAAGTGGGACTACTGAGCTAAATCCCTGGCCTGGTTCTGTGCACTTTCTATATTACAGCTGTAAATTATTTCCATTATGTACATTATAGTCTCTACCTGGCTACTGAGCTCCATGTAGCCGGGGCTTGTGACTTACTCCAACACCAAATCCCAGTTCCTTGCACTGGCTAGGCACAAAGCAGGTGCATAATCCACACTCATGAATACATTAGTGAATGCTCAGAGAACTGGAAGATGTGTAAATGGAAGAGGATTTACTTGTGCCCCAAATTCACCATTGTCCTGGGCCTGCTTTTCCAAACATGGGCTTTTATAAAGCCAGTCTCCAACCTTAGGCCTTTTAGGAAGGGAAGGAATGCCAGTCAGTTATTTCAGTTGATAGTGGTAAAAGCCTTTTCTATTAGTGACAATACTTCTTAAGAGTATTTACAAGTTCTTCAGCAGGCAAAGATTCACCTGCACTGGCCACAGGCCAGTACTTCCAAGAACTGAACTTTTGGAAGCAAAGCAAGGAAATGCACCCTTCTTTCTATAGTCCATGCATAATCTTTCAAGCTGTGCTTACGAAGGACAAGAGGATGTTCACTGTTGTAGAAAGATACTACTTGGTCATCCAGGGTGGCAAACATTTCTCTTCTTTTGAAAACACACTTCTGTAGAAGGCCCATGAAACACCTGCCAGATAATATCTAGACTGGGGACAAGGAATTTTTTGATTTTTCTGAGACTGATTTAGACATTGTTTGTAAAAGAAAACCATAATCTAAAAAAGTATATTCTGCCAGCACTTCCCTGGACATGACCTCTCCAGCTGTACACAAATGCAGGAAATACAGCTTGACACTAAAAGGAATAGGAAAAGAATTTTCCAACTCACTGAACTGTACAAGTCCTATTTTTTTTTTTTAACCACCACTATGAAAAGGGGAGGAAATCAAAGTGACAACTGCCTTGATTTTGTGATAGCTTCTAAATGGTGACACTGGAAAGTTGTGAATGACAAAGTCATTAAAAAATTATTTTGGTTATAATTAAATTTATTTTAAAAATGTTTCCCAATTATTGGTAATCCTATAGTATTGATACAAAAGTATACCATATAATCACAAATCCAGCCCATGGATACTGTTTTATTTTTCCTTATTATTTATTAAGTAAAACAAAAACTGAACAATCTACACATTTTTACTGTATTCAAGGCCTTCCAGTGTGCAAAAATTTACAAAATGGGATTCTCATCTGAAAAGCAGCAGCACTCGTCAAACATTGTAAAACGTGCTTATTTGAGGTGCTTTAAATAAAACAGGAAAGAAATCAACTTTGCAGCAAATCTAAATTTGTAAGTTAGGACTTGATGTGTCTTTAGTGATCTGAGTTAATATTGGACCAGTTAATCAAAATAAATCACGACACCTCAAAAAAGGTAATATAGTAAGAAAAAGTCAATTTAATCATTTAGTTTAGCAGGCAAGCAATTTGTAAACATTCAGTAGCGGCAGCATCCAAGTTACAATTTAAAAAGAACCAAGATTAGTGATTATAATTTTTCCTTCCTTTTCCCCCAGGAGAAAAAAATATATAGAAAGGAAGAAAAACGGGAAAGAAAGAAAAAAGGTTTGGAAATGAATGACTTCAAACACTACAAACATGAACATTCAATTATGTCTTCTATCAGCCATCTATGCATCCTCTCTGTTTTATTTTAAAAGATATATCTACTTCTAAAATGCATTATGTCGAAATAACTTGTACGTGAGCATTTGCAATCGAGGAAGTTGTTCCCGCACAGGGATGTGCACATACTATCTCAGTTTAAATCCCATTTGCAAAGGGAACATTTATGTCTTGATTCAATGCTTCTTTGACTTCTAGTGGCAGGGTGTCAAAAAGGTGATCTTCCACAACAAGCCCGCTTTTCTTGAGCATTCGACACTGGCCCAGCTGGGCTGGCAACCGGTCCAAGCAGTTTCCCTTCAGCTCCAGCTGAGTGAGCTGGGAGAGCTGACCAATTTTTTCTGGGAGGGAGGTGATGCAGTTTTGCCCCAGATTCAAAGTCCTCAACTTCATGCATTTAAACAATTGTTTTGGCAGAATGTCCACTTTGTTCCCAGTGATATGCAAATGCTGCATGTTCTGAAGCAATCCTATTTCTGTTGGAATCACTGAAATGTTGTTGTAGCTTACATCTAAGCATCTGAGTTTCTGTAAACTAAATACTGCCACTGGTAAAGATTCGAGCTTGTTGTTGGAGAAATAAAGTGACTCCAAGTTTTTGACATGGGTAATGGAGGGAGGAATGGTAACAATTTTATTATGCCATAATTTTAAACAAGTCAGTCGTTTTAAATGCTGGAAACTGATGATCTCCTCAATTGTGCGTATGTTATTCGACTTTAAATCCAGTTCTTGTAAATTAGACAGGCTGAAAATAGCATGTGGGATTCTCTCTAGTTCACAATTCTGGAGTTCCAGCTCAGCGACATTCATCATTTTCTTAAGGCTGTTCAGTACCAAGAGTTTAGTGCCGTCATTATGAATGACTAACTTTGTAAGATGTGGAGCCACATCTGTAATGTTGGAGGGAACTTTGGTCAAATTGCTCTTCACGTGGAGAATCTTAAGGTGTCGCAACTCTCGGAGGGATTCAAGTCCTATCATTTTATTGTTTTCTGAGTTCAAATTGCCCATCAAGTACAACTCTCGAAGGTTTTTGAGCAAATACACCCAGGCAGGGATTTCAGCCACGTCAGTGAACTTCACGTGAAGGCATCTCAAGTGATCTCGGAGAAAGCTAAAAGCAGTCTGTTCAACTTTTGCAGGGCAGTGGCAGAGGTGAAGCTCTTGGAGGTTAGTCATTTGAGAAATCTTAGCAGGAATTTTAGCTTCTGGAATCAGTTCAAGTTTTAGCACATCCAAGTCCGTGAGGTCAAAGACAGCATCGGGCACTCCTGACAACATGAACAGGTGCAACTCCTGCTTGTCCTGGGCATTGCGTGACACGTGCTGCCTGAGTTTTTCAAATGTCCACTCGTGGTTCAGACTAATTTCCCTAAGTTTGTTTTCACTGACTTCTGACAAGAACACACCAAAACGCTTGGAATATAGCTGGTCATACTGGTCTACCATGTGTAGAAGGAAAGCAAAATCATTTTTGACATCTGGAATGTCACTGAAACTGCTCTCTTCTCTGACTTTTTCAAAAGAATATTCTTTCAAAGGTATTCTGAATAACCAGAACAGAGTATAGAGGCAAATAAAACCATAAACACAAATAATGGAAATATAACTGATGAGAAGCTTTTTCAACATGTACGCCATGTTGTGGGTACACTCAAATACCTCATAGCCAGTCAGGTGCTCAACTTTGGGCTTGCAGACGTGCTCAAAGCTGATTGCGTTGACAAAGTTTGCAGTGTAGCAGAGAATGAAAATGAACTTGGCTGTTTTGATAACTGTTTGGACCACATAGAGTTTATAGATCAAGTCACTGTCTTCCACATGGGCACGGAACTTCCTGACTTTCTCAAACAGGGCTTTAGCCTGTTCCCCATCTTTTTTGTCCAGGATGGTCATGCTGGGGACTTCGATCACAGGCTTTTCAGCTGAGAACTTGAAGCCAGTTTTGTTGATCATTGGGGTACTGGCACTGGGACTCCCCTCATCACTGCTGGTAGACACATGCTTTGGTAGAGTCTGGGCACCTGTTATTCTCTGTTTGTTTTCCTCTGAGTCTTCACATGCTGTCTCAGACAATGCTTTAGTAGTCCAAGGAGATTCAAAGCACTTTCCTAATATTGAAACAAAATGTTCTACTTTTGAGCATGTTTTGGGATATTTGAACCAAAAGTTGCTACTGACCATGAGAATAATAGTATGGATAAGAGCAAGGTATGGAAAGTATTTAGAATACCATGGAAGGGCCAGATGGTAACACATTTGATTAATAAATACATATTGCTGAAAATCCAAGTTTGTTTTTCGGCCTGTTGGATCTTTCTTCTCTTTCCTTGCCTCCTGATTGGGAACTGTGGAATCTGGGTGAGGATATGTGGCTCTGAGAGGTATGTCAGATGTCACAGCAGATGTACCAAAGGAAATGTCATTTGCTATCCGCCTATCTTGGTCTTGGTTAGTGGCTGCTTCCATCTTCGGGACTTCGGTGGTGACATCTGTATTTCCTGGTGGCGTGTGTGTCTTTGAACTTACAGGAGATGGCAACACTGGCAAGCAGACCACCTGATCTTTGGTAAGTTGCATAGTTCCTGCAAAGATGGCTACCATCAACATAACAACAGCCAGGTAATCCATAAACACATCCCACCATGGTTTCAGGATTCGGTAAGTTGGCTGAATGTCATTAAGTGAAGCAACTTCTGCGAGGGTAAACATTCCTAGAAAATGAGAACAAGACATTGTTACCAAGCTGCAAGTGCTAACAGTAAATGAGGAAAAATTTTATGCCTGCTCCAAACTAAAGTTTTCTCATCCAGGTCCTACCTTTTTGTCCAAGATAGGAGTGAGTGGTAAAAAAATAAAAGGAATATATATCAGGGAAATGATCACTTGTTTCTAATAAAAGTAGGGTTTTTTTTTTCTCTTAAGAGAAGAGGGGAAAAAAATAAGAATGACATTCCAGTAAGAAGTAATGGCAGACAGTAGAAAGTCTCTGATGGTTACGGTTTAGATCTGGTATGTTTTCCAAAAGGTGGCTGGATCATGGGGGTGATACAGTCAGTGAACTAATCCACCGTTGAGCTCAGCTGATGTGCTATTAGGAGTTGGGACCTAATTGAAAGAGGAGGTCATTGGGAGCACGATCAGGAAAAGTTATCTTCCTCCCTGGCTTTTCCTTTCACCCTCTGGTTCCTGGCCACCATGATGTGAGCAGCTTTTCTCCATAGCTGTGCCTTCCCAGTATACTGGTTCTGTGTATAGACATCACTTGTTCTTATATTGGAAGAACTAATATCATGAAAATGGCAATACTTCCAAAAGTAATCTACAGATTCAATGCAATCCCTATTAAATACCAACAGTATTCATCACAGAACTAGAAAAAGCAATCCTAAAATATCTTTGGAATAAAAAAAGACCTAGAACAGCTAACGCTATCCTGAGCAAAAAGAGTAAAGCTGGGAGTCTCATAATACCAGATTTCAAGTTTTATTCAAAAGCTATAGTAACAAAGACAATATAGTAGTGGCAGATTTAACATATAAAACCAATGGAATCAAGCAAAAGACAAACAACCCCATGCACTTATAAGCCATCTGATTTTTGACAAAGGGATAAAAAACATACATAGATGAAAAGGCAGCCTCTAACAAATGGTGCTGAGAAAACTGGTAGCCACTTGCAGAAGATTCAAAGAAGATTCCAATCTCTCACCCTTCCACAAAATGGATCAAAGACCTAGATACAAAAACAAAGTTTGAAACTGCTGGAAGATAACACAGGGGAAACACTTAAACCCATAGAAACACTGGCAGACTTTCTGAATAGAACACCAACAGTACAGAAAGTAATATCAAGAATCAACAAATGGTTTTAGATCAAATTAAAAAGCTTCTGCACAAAAAGAAATCAAGAGGGAAAAGATAATCTACAGAATTAGAGGAAAATTATTATTACAATAAAGAGCTAAACTCTAGAACATATAAAGGACTCAAAAAACAAACAACAAAACCCAAAACAAATTACTCATGCAAAAAAAATTGGCAAATGAACTGAATAGTAATTCTCAGAAGTATAAGTGGCCAATATGTATATGAAAATATTCAACATCTTTAGGCATCAGGGAAATGCAAATCAAAACAACTTTAAGATTCATCTTACCCCAGTCAGAAGGGCTATACTGAAGAACACACACAGGCAGAGACAGAGACAGAGATAGACACACACACACACACGCGCGCGCGTGTGTGCGCGCGTGCACATGCACACCTCAAAGAATGGACGCAGGGAGAGGAAGCCTTCTACATTGTTGGTAGGAATATAAAATAGTATAACCACTACGGAAATCACAATGAGGATTCCTCAAAAACCAAAACTAAAAATACCATTTGAGCAAGCTGTATCTCTCCAGGGTACATTCCTGAGTTAAAGATACCATGCACCACAGTCATATGTTGGTACTGGGTTGTTTTGAAACTCACTGAATTTGGTACTCAATGCATTTTGATTTAACATCCCCCCAGTACTCATTTGTTTGGTACTTGATAACCAAGCTAGAACTTTCAGTGTCAACTGGCTGGTAACTCACTACCCTCTCCAGCCAAAACAGTTTGGTACTCACTGTTTTTGGTAATTCATTACACCTACTGCTGGAACCAATCAACAAGTACCTAGATGCCACTGTACAGTGACCCATGCTTATCTTTGTTTTTAGCAGCATAATTTACAACAGCAGGGGCCAAGGATGTAGCTCAGTGGCACATCCTCACCTGCCTGGCAAGTGCAAGGTCCTGAGGTTTGATACAACAACAACAACAACCACCACCACCACCACCACCCCTCCCCCAAAACCAATTTTCAATAGCGAGCTCTGGAAACAGCCTAGATGCCCATCAACAGATAAATGGATAAAAGAAAATGTGGTATGTAGATATAATGGAATATTATTCAGTGATGAAGAGAAATGAAATCATGCCATTTGTAGGGAAATGGATGAAACCTGAGATCATCATGCTAAGTAAAATAAAGAAGACTCACAGAAAGTTAAATGTTATGTTTTCTCACATAAGGGGCTTAAATACTAATGAGTGAATAAAATAAAGGAGCAATGACAGCCAACTAGAAAGTAGACTCTTGGAGATGGGTTGTGGGGAGGGACAGAAAAAGGTAAAGAAATAAAAAATGATCAAAATGTGTTTTATATGTATGCACCAATTCCCCCCCAATGAACATCACTATTCTGTATTATAAAAAGGCACTTAAAAAAAAAAAGCAAGGCAAGTACTCAAGATTTTGTAAATGCATTTTTTAAAAAAGGAAGAGTAAAAAATAGATTTTTGGGACTGGGGATTTAGCTCAGTGGGACCACGCTTGCCTCGCAAGTGCAAGGTCCTGAGTTCAATCCCTGTACCAAAAAAAAAAGATTTTAATCATTCTATGTAAGAGCTGCCTGCTGTCTGTGCTGAGAAGGACACTGATGCTATTTTAGCAAATAGTGATATGGACAATTACTAGTGTCCTTTTTGGATGACAAAATGGAGAAAAGTAGCATTAGAATTTGGAGATCCCTACCCACCTCAAAAGCAGGAACTGTCTCCCCACCCCACCCCGGGTACTGGGGATCAAATTCAGGACCTTGTACTTTTGAGGCAGGTGCGGCGTCACTGAACTAAATCCCTAGCCCATCTTATTTTTTTTTCTGAAACCCTCCCATATAACTAATACTGTAAAGAGGAGGTACAATTATAATTTCCTAACAAAATATAATTATTCAGTTGTAACAGCAATCTTCATATCTAGAGATAGCTGGTTTTGTAAATGAAATATCTCAACCAGGTAAACACAAGCCTGAGAACTTCAAAGATCTAAACTACTGAGTTGTTCTTATAATTTGTGAAAATTGCTAAAAAATCACATTCCCAGACTTCAGGGCTAAGAAATGCCTGATATCCTAGGTTTGTAAAAAAGAAACAACCAAACATATTGGTTAGTTTTCTTCTTGCTGGGACAATATAATGTACCTGACACCCTCAACTTAAGGAGGAGAACTCTGGTTGGCTGACTCCAATGCAAGAAAAGAAAGGTGGAAAGGCGTATGGAGAAAATCTGCTCAACTTATGGCATCCAGAAAGAGAGAGAGAGAGAGAGAGAGAGACCCTCCAAAGGCACAGCCCCAGTGATCTATCTCCTCCAACTAGGCCTGACCTCCTAATGGCATATTCAGGTATGAACTCATCAATGGATGAATCCACTGATAGGTATAATGCCACCAGGACTCAATCCTCTTCCAAAAGCCCCACCTCTGAACACATGAGATTTTTGAGGGACATTTCATATCTAAACCTTCACATTCTGTCCCTAGTCCCCAAAGGTCCACGTCCATCTCATTATACAAAATATATTAAGTCTATATGCAAGAGTTACTAAAGTCTTAAAGGTTCCAGAACTGTTTAAAAGTTTAAGTCAGAGGCTCAAAGGAAACTCTTACCTGTGAGTCCCTGCAATGGCACAAGTTAACATTTCCATTCCAAAAGGGAGAAATAGGTAGGTTGAAAGGAAGAGGACTGAAACAAGAACAAAACTCAGGAGGGCAAACATTAAATCCTTTAATTTCATATCCAGCACCCAGAGCATTTGGTGGCAAGATATGAGTTCCAGCAATAGAAAAGTTAACACAAGGTTCTTTGATTAAACCCTTTTCATCTCCAGACATCTTATGTTCTATCTTGGTAACTTCTGGTATCTCCAAAAAGCCATTTTCCCTTGTTCTCAGCACCTCTCCCACACACTGTTTCCTCTACCTGGAATACTTCTTTCACACTCCTTTCATTAAACTATCTGGTTTCTGTTGTCTTTCCAGGAAGCTTTCCCAGTCTTCTAGTCTCAGTGAGGTGCTCCTCTAAGGTCCTGGCACAGGACTCTGAACTTCTGACCATTATAGTCCTCATCACATGGCATTTGCTTATATGATTTCCCTAAAGCTTAATAAAATGAGTCAGGGACCACGGTAATCTTCCTTCCAATGTTTGATACATAGGAGGTGCTCAATCAATGAAAAAAATGTTAAGAGAACTTGATTATCATTTTTGGCAGCATAAACATTCCAAGAACACTTATTAATTAGTGGTTTACATATAGCATTGGGCATTTTATAAACTTAATTGCCACCACAAAGCAACCTGGATCCATGTAAAAATAAAACTATGCCATGCCTCAGCATAAAAATAAAGGGACACACAACAGAGAATCTGTGGAATCCTTTGTAAGTGGTGATATTTTGAAGCTGTCAAAGCTTTAGTGGTAGTTTTCATGCACCTTATACTTAGGACATGCTTTGATCCCAGGAGAAAGAGGCTGATTGTGTTTCCAAAGGACAAAAAAATGAATGAAAAGGTAGTGGCACACAACACAGGAATACAGTACTATAATTTCACTCTGTTTCACACCTTTCCAGCAAGGGTAAGAGGGCCAATTAACATTAGAATAGCACGCAACAACTCCTAGCTTAAATGAGTTCTTTTCCAGTATACTGTCTACTCTGCCACCCTGCCAAGGAGTTTTTGCCCCTGCATATCCTCCAGCCCAATTTTTTTCTTTCCATGAACTTACTCTTTAATTCCCAGAACAAGAACTATCTTTCCTGCAAATTCCTGTCATATGGTCTAAAGGTCATATGTTTCCAATCTTAGTTCCTTCAATTATGTTGTTTGCTATTTTTCTTTCCATACACCAAGTACTGTCCTAGGAGCTTTACATCTGATACAATTCCCTACTTCTGCATCCTTGAAGTAAATAGGTGAAAAGTTTAGTTTTAGGGTTGAGGATCAAAGGAATGGCTCCATTTTCAAAAATGTTGCATAATGTTATAAACCCATCAGAACTCCTAAAATGAAAAAGATAGGTGTTGCTGAGGTTATAGGAACAATTGATTCAAACACTATTGGTGGAAGTTGTGAATCTGCATGACTACATTGGGAAAATTTTTGGTATTATCTCCCCAAACTGAATGCACACTCTTTAATCTAGCAATTGCAGCGCTAAGTACATATCCAGAACAAACACATACCTGTCATAAGACAAGTATAAGAATGCTTGTATGTCACATAATAGCCTCAAACTGGAAGCTATCCAAAGGTCTATCAGCAGAAGAATGGAAAAATGAAATGGGGTGAAACATTACTTATTGGTAGCTTCTCTAACGCATCATTTCTGTCATGTCTTTATGCCTTCACATTTCTATTTCTTGGGTCAAACCTGTATTCCCCATCCTATTTTTTTTTTTCCTTTTTTTGGTACCAGGGATCGAACTCAGGTCCGTGCGCTTCCCCATCCTTTCTAATGTTCTCCCTGCTCCTTCTTGTCTCAACTTAAAAACCAACCCTCAGTGAAGTCTTCCCAATTACCACATGCAGACTGAGGCCTGCCTTGTCGAGACTCTCCTGTACTTAGTCATCATCAGGTGAGAGCAATTTTCTTAACCTTTCTCTGCTTATCATCCCCCATTAAAATGGGAGCCCCTTTGGGCAAGGACTACTTATATCATCTCTGTCTTCCTGTTGCCCTCCACCCCACGGTACCTGGTACATGGCTGCTGATGACTTCTGAGTGAATGTCATGAAAAACTGCCTTACAGGCAGTGGTTAATTACACAACTTCATTGCTCTGTCTCCCCAGAGCCAAGAGTGAGAAATTCCTTCTTTCAGCAGTCAACCTTTTGCTAACAATACAGACACTGGTAC